ACAGGGCCGAGAAAGCTCTTTTGGAAAACAGCCTTCAAAGCTTTTGCATGACAAAAAAAACACAAAAGCGGCGTGTATATAAAATATATATATATACATCTAATATATATTTGAGTTCGTATGTATCTATGTACATGTATCTTCCCTATAGGCGGCCAAACCGCCAAAACGATCTGGATGCAATTTCCACAGGGCCATCTCTTATACCCGGGGAGTGTTCCTAGACCAAAAAAATTCAAAAAAGTTTAAAAAGTTAAAACATTTGATAAAAATTGTATATTTCATCAATAGATGCGCCATGGCGTTACACCGCGCTGCATCACGTATGTGTCAATCATTGTGTTATAACATAAGTGGAGCAATGGCGTAATGTCTAAGTCTCTCTAAGACATTCGTCTACCACACCGGATACTGGGTTCGAGTCCCACACTGGGGCAACATTTTTCGCCCCTTTTTCCCTTTTTTCCCTTTACCTACCTCTTTTTTAATTTATGAATTTATTGAATTATTTTTTTTTTTTTTAATTATTATTTTTTTTAAATGTCTTACCTTTTAATTTTTTTATTATTTTTTACATGGTTTGCGATGGCTTGGAGATGGGGACTGCGGGATGCGGATGGGATTCGGATGGGATGACATGCATCGGGATGTGGATGGGATGGCCATGCAATGGCATGCCAATGAGATGGGATGGATGTTGGCTGCGATGACATGGCATGGCCATGCGCATGGGATGTCATGCGGATGGAGATGGATGCGCGATGGATGTGCGTGCCGAGGCGGATGCGGATGGGATGGGATGGAATGGCATGGATGGATGGATGCATGGACGGATGCATGGATAGATAGATAGTTAGGTTTTTTGGGGTATTTTCCTTTCAACCAAGCGGTCACCAACTGAGTAACGCGCCACTGATTTCCCCGGGCAACGCCGGGTATCCCGCTAGTATATATATATATGAGCATAGCAGCTGAGACATCTTCTGTACCCAACAAGCCAACTACAGATTCAACCACCTGAAACCTATATTCACACAACTCCCTATGTGGACAAACTAGTGTAATTTTGTAATCGATCATCGGTTGGACCCAAGTAACCGATGATCGGTTACAATCGGTTACTCGGGGTGTTGAATGCTTGCATGTGCGTAACGTCGTGTGCATGTACGTGTGTGCATGTATGTGCTTGTTTAGCCCTGTTTACTGTTTGTTTTGCACTGTTTACTACTGTGTGTATAATACATGTATGTTAATAAAGGATAACTTGTATAGTAGCAATGATATCCCTGATTCTAATCACTTTTCCAAGTTTTACATTTATTTTAATTTGATTTTTTTTTTTTTCGATGAAATTGATTATGGATTTTGATAACCAAGGCGCTTGGTTCGAGCCACTGCTCAACCGATGATCGAGTATAATCGAAGATCGTGACATCACTAGGACAAACCATACAAAAAAAATGTAACTCTAATATGGGAGGGCTGAACTTGCAGTGACTGTTGCAACGAAGAGATATCTAATTCCAAGCAAACATGGGGCAATTCCGGGCATGGGGGCAAAAAAAAAAAATTTAATTAGCAACTGCAATGGAATGAAAAATGTGAATGTTGATAGGCATTTAACAATTGCCTGAAAATCATATATATATATATAATCACGTGTATTCTGTAGTGGGAAAAACATGATCCAACTTGTTTTGAATTTTTTAGGTCATGGGTTGCATTTTTAGAAGTGTGAAGGTAGGGGCACACGAGCGATTTTTATCGCCCGATCGCCGCGAATTTTAAAATCGCTCGAAAAATTCGCCCGTGTGCCCGTTCACGTCGACGCCGATTTTAATCGCCCGTACGAATCGCCCGTATCCAAAATGTTAGATATTTTCAGGCGATTATTTACGCCGGCGATTATTTACTGGCAAATTCGCTCGTGTGCCCGTGTCCGGCGTATTTTGTCGCCCGATCGATTTTTCTAATCCAATCGGACGTGTTGTTGATATCATGTGATGCATCATGTGATCATGTGATTCCGTCGAGTGGCGTACGCGTACGCTCTCAAATTCGCTACGTGTGCCCCTTCGTGATCGGGCGATTAAATTCGCTACGTGTGCCCCTTCGTGATCGGGCGATTAAATTCGCTGGCGATTTTAATCGCTGCGATCGGGCGATAAAATACGCTCGTGTGCCCCTAGCATAAGTAGATAGAGTTTAGACTCACGGAGATACAGACTTAACTTATTAGAGGCTTTGGTAAAATTTTGTTTTTCACTAGCGGATGACAGTGATAAAGGACCCTCTATCACTAGGCCCTCACAAGTATGATTAAACAGTCAAACCTGTATATAAAGTCTCTCACTAGGCCCTCACACATATGATTAAACAGTCAAACCTGTATATAAAAGCCACCTAAGGGAAACCAAAACGTGTTTTACAACAAAGCATTACAAACTCAATATTTGAGTCTATGATCTCTCTTCGCGCGCGCACACTTACATTCTTGTTCCTTCGCTGGATGAGTGATGACTTGCCATCAATGATCACGTGGCTACCTTCGAACACTGGATCGAACAGCTCATATTCATCCATCCCCTCATCCTCCTCGTCATCCTCTTCTGTCTCGTTAAGCGTTGTGTAGATCACATGCCCGAACGAGCTCTGGATCAGGTAGATCCCTGAATCTGTGTTCAACTCACCCCCACCGTTAGCCAACTCATCGATCTTCGACACGGGAACGTCGTCGCCGTGTTCGGCCGACGGCGGCACGTTGCTGGGTAGCCTGGGCGGCGGCGGCGACTCGTAGTAACTGTGGATGATGTAGGAAGACAGTGGATCCTGGCCGGGAGCTTCGTCCGGCGGCAGTGTCACGTTGTATTCTGTCGGTTCGTCCTCGTCAGACTCGTTGCTGTCGGAACTCGCCACCTCATCGATGTTCGTGACGGGCAGCGGGGAGTGATGCCGGATGCTGTCGTCGTCATGGCGATCGGCGAGGGGATCGCTTGGTGCCTCGGAAACGATGGCAGTAAGCGCTGCTTCGACAACCAGAACGTGCCGGGAATCGGATTGACTGTTTACGACAGAAGTAGTAAGCTCAGCAGAGATTTCGCATGCCTGTGTCGACGTGACAGCACATGTGTCATCATCGAATTCGTGGTAGCAATTTAGGACCTCATCGGCAGTCTCTACCTCCAAGATATCGGATTCCATTATGGCTGAGCTGCTCTGTTGTTTGGAGAAGACTTGCTCGTTCTCGACTGAACCCTGTGTGTCTTCGTCGTGACATTGAGAATACAGCAACTCTATGTGATTAATCTTCCTTTCTTTTTCACCAGACATTACCCTGTCGACGTCCTCGGAACTACGACTTTGCATTTCTGTTGCAGTGGAAGACGTTACAGAGTTCACACCGTTTGCAAACACATCGCTGCCATTAGGCTGTCTGTTTGGACGATTCAACTTGAATGGAACTTCAGCTGTAACTTCAGGAGCTTTATTGGCCCTTGTGTACTGCACCTCACCAACGGCCACCCACTCCTCCTCCTGGTTCTGTAGTTGTCGTGGAGCATTCTGAATAGGCTTACTAAGGAACGTCTCCGAGAACCCGGCTGTCTTCACCCTCCTCTTCGATTGGCCAACAATTTTTGATGGCTTCACCAACTCTTCCTCGAGAACACTAGGCTCTGTCGCTGCCTCATCGATGTGGCTCTGAGTCACGATGGCTCTGACGGGTACATAATGGCTATGAACTTCAGTTATCTTCTTCTCTAGCACCATTATCTTGTCAGGTTTTCTCTGCTGCTGCTTACAGTTGTGCTCCTCTAGACTCTGGTGTGCACCTTCTGAAGACGTGCTTTCCTGCTTGTGAACGGGAGACATTGGCGATGTGCTCATACGTCCTGTGTAAGATGGACTATCAACAACATTCTTCTTGTGGGTACGGGTTTCGGAATTTTTCAATCTAACGTTATTATTGCCCTTCTGCTCGCTGGATGTCGCAGGTTTTCTGCACCTGTGAATTGGGGAAGACTGAGGCGTGACCTCCTCGATCTGTCCAAGACTCAGCAGACTCTCGTCATTGCAGCTATTTCTCTTCGATTCCATTTCGTCAACGACGATTTTCCGTAGCGTCACCGACGTAGTGGAATTGCTGTCCTTGATGTTCGCATTTTCAAACAGACTTCGGAACATTGCCACTGTGTTGGGTTTCGGGAGTTCCTCAGGTATCATCTCACGGTACTGTGGACTTGTCTTCACCTCCGGCTTGTCTCGGCTCGCCGACTCAGCACTCGTTTGCATCTCGGGTTTCTTGTTCTCGATTATAACGACGTCCTCTCTGGAGAGCACAGCTGAATCGCAGACGGCAAAGTTTCCTGCATCAAAGCTCATCGATTTCTCCATCGCAGCCCCTTCCGACTCTCTCTTGTCAACATCTTCGAGAGATGCTAGGCTTGAAGACCGCCTAGCTAGTCCGTGGTTGAAATAAGACGCCTGATCCGGCGACTGGTTGTCATCCAAGTCTAGTAGGTCGCTCATTGACGAGAAACGGTTCCTAAGTTTGCTAACGAATCCCTGACGGTACACCATCTCGTACTCCTGATCGGCTTCCGGCAGGTCGCTCGGCGTGCCTTTCACAATCGCCTCGTCACTGCGACCTCTTTGGTCGCTATCGACTTTCATCCCCACAAGCGAGTTTGGGCGGGAGATATTATTGCACGCACCCAAGCCAATCCGGTGTTTCGTGCCGCCACGTTCATTTTTAATCCAGGGATTCATCGAGAACGGTAAGACGTGTTCGTCGACACCGGCTGTAACCGTGTCATCTTCGTCGGTGCCGCAAACGATATTATTACTTTTAGTCTTAGTGGTATTACCCAATTCCAACGACGTGGTTTGCTGGTTGTAGGTGCTCCCTAGATGTGGTCGATTAGGTGAAGTATACGCTGAGCCGTCGTCGTCACTCTCGTAGACTGGACTATCTGTGTTTCCGATTTGCTTTACGTATCCATCGTCGTCGAGGAAAAGGTTTCTTTTCTTCAGCAAGAGATCACGTTTCCACGATGGCAGCTCGGATAGGCCTACTTGTTCTGCATCGAGATTTCCCAGTTTGTGACGCCGCTTTCTCTCCAACACAGCTTGCTTCCACGCCGGTATTGACATGGTAGTTAAGCTACGTTATCATCCGTATCCGATGTGTGGAGAAAGTGAAACCAGTGAGACTGATCATAGGGGAAAACACGTTTTGGCCGTGTCAACGGCCTACAACTGATGGTGCAAACGACATCGACTGTGTAGTGCGATCCTGCTGCGAGCTGACATCATCAGTTCGGCGTGAAAACATTGCAAATTAACGCAGCGACATCTTTTGGTCGAAAATGATAGCTTTTGCAACAGCACCCCGTTCTTCATACAGAAACATATTATTATCATAATATATCATAATATTATCTTACTCCTGATATTATCAGTAGCGAATAACAATAGATTGTGAATAATAAATAATGCAATATATTGTGATAATGATATAATTTAATGTGATAATAGATTGTGAATAATAATAGATAGTAAATCATAATCAATTATTATTCACTCCTGATGTTATCGTTACAAGAAAGCAATTTGGGGAGAGCATGGAATTGCGCTTTCGCTGTATCCATAGTCTCTCGTTCTGGTTACAGCTAATCTTCCGTCTGTCGCAATCGTTGCTGACTTTCATGGAAGTCGTAACGCGGGCTACTGACGGCATTTTAAACTTTTTTCATCACTACGCAATTTCTGCTCCAGTTTGTGATTGTCTGGTGTGTGTGGTGTGTGTGTGCGTGGGTGCTGCGTGCGTGCGCGTGCGTGCGTGCGTGTTGGCTCGTGTGTGTGTGGTGTGTGTGTTGTGTGTGTGTGTGTTGTGTGTGTGGTGTGTGTGGTGTATCATTGTGTCAAATCCATCTAAATAGCAGTCCCAGTTTCTGTCCGCACTTTGTATATACATAGCGATTGGTTTATTATAATTATACAGGTCACTGTTGTGTACTAAAACAACGAAATGCAGGTCTGTGATCAGTATCACCTAAAAAATCTGTGCTCTGGCCATATATATAATAATATGTATATAGTATATTATCTCTTTGTCAGTAACATAAAGTAGGGTTATAAATATTTTGCTATAGTAGTTTTTTGTTCTACAGATATATCACAATAGATGCGTAATTGGTTCGCAAGGTTTAATCGAAATTAAAATGTAATTTCAACTCAAATTTATTCTACGAAATTGTGATACAAATTCAATTCAATTTAATATTTCAATGTCATTCATCACTTTACTTAGACTTATTAAATTACTTTTTGCAAAATAATATATTATTTAAATAAATATAAATATTTATTTTATAATGAGCTGATAATACCTTAATTTCATTGGCTCTTGATATACTCATATATATATATATATATATATATATATATATATATATATTTATTTATTTATTTATTTATTTATTTATTTATAGTATATTAATAATAATAAAACTATATAACACGTTCAACGCTGCCTGGTTACACACTCCCTGATTTAGTGTCGGACTCCCTGATTTGACATAATATCAAGAGTCTATCAATATTGATAGACTCCTGATAATATTATGCAAGAGTCCGTGTGACTCCCTGAAAATTCTGCTATACTAACTAGTTCGTTCGAGAGCACGGCCTCGCGGAATTACCGTATTTTTTCAGCAAGTGTGCCAAGAAAATGTTTGCAGACGGGCACCGCAAATGTCCTGCAATGTCCAAACGTGTAATCAACAGCGGGTGTTACAGATAGTCAGCGTGTGCCGCGCTTGCCGCTAGTGCGTACGATGTTCTTGCGTTATGGCCAGCAGCGGTGTCGATTGATTTACGGACCCGATAGTTTTATGTAGGGGCCTACTATGTAGCGCGAACTGACGTCGTGTGCGGAGCATTTTTATGACTGCGCAGGGGTGACGGGCACCTGGGAGGGAAGCCCTACAAATAAGTCGACAAAATGACGACTTACGCGTATGTCGTCATTTTCGTAAGTCGGCACAAATACGCTGGTCCCAAAAGTGTCGACTTATGCGAGTTCTTCTGAATTATAAACCAACTGTGAAAACTTTTCAGTGAGCTTAATTCTGGATAAGGAAAAAAATCCTAATGGCCAACTGCACAGTCATTCGTTTAGTTAGCAGTTCATGAGGCATATAGGTGCAAAATAACCCAGCGGGACAGAGACGAGTAAGGCTTCCGTTACTGACAGCAAGCTACGTAACTGATGGCATATATAATGCGCTAATGCACGGATAATCATGCTAATGTATCTGGCTCATATATCAACAGTTAAGTGTTTTGCTCTAAAAATATACCTGTTGCTTAAACAAAGAAACCTCGTCTGTAATATTCCCAATGTCCTGCAGCAACTGCATGTAGGACGAATTTTGAATCCTGTATTTGTTGAAGCTGAAGAAAATTCACAAAAGCACCGTTACTGATTATTGACTTTACTGCACACAAATATATTTGATAAAGTCTGCTTTTATTCAACTCTAATAATATATTCAAGCAGCAAAAAACGAACAGTCACATATTATATTCTTTCTGCCTTTGAAAGCATCGATTTTATATTACAAAATTACGTACCTTCACAACCCCACCATCGACCTAAATCACATCTGGCTCACAATAAATAAAGAGTACATACCTCATTATGTTGAGCATCTGAATTATTGGCAGCTGACATGAGAATGGAAATTTGAGGCTTTAATTCACCGATATCTGATGATAGTTGCTGAAGATTCACCTGCCAAACAAAGCTAGGGAAATCAATGACTGCTTCGTTCATGTATATGCATTCAACATCATACAATAATGAAAATTAACTACCACTGTGAAATTGTGAAGTAAAATCTCATGCGCTATTTTTAGGGCTAATCAAATATGTAGTAGAAGTTTGATGACAAGTACGTAACTTCTAAAAAAAAATCTGCAGAAAGTATTATATCACTATATGTTTAAAGAAATGTTTATAAAATATATTCTTTTAGATATAAAGATTAAAATTCACACGGATTCAGATGAATAAACAATTATACTAAATGCCAACTAATTAGGCTGTAATGCATGCAACTGGATAAATTTGCAATCCATTCAGCTCAGCTGATAAGTATTCTGTACATACAAGATGCAAGCAGACTATACCGTTTTCATGATTTCTTTCCCAATACTGTGGGTGATACAGCAGTTGAACAATTAACAGGGAGGATGGGAAACTTGTGCAAGAGATATCCATATTCATGTTCTAGAATTCAGTTTCATATAATACCTTATTTAGACCGCGATGTCTCCACCCACCTGCCCAATTTGTGCCCATAGTGTGGTATTCATACTCATTAGCTCTCTCTCAACGATTGACAAATTCTGCAAGTAAGAAAAATTAGATTGAAAGTTTTAACAGTTAGATAATAGTTAAATACGGAAGTAGTATGTTGTATTGCTTATATTGTTATGTGTCTATAAATATGACACAAACATATACATGCACACGTGTATCCGACCCGGAGGCCCGATCCCACCAAGATTTTACTCAGGCCACCATCTCTATGAAACTCCCGGTCCTCCTGCCCGGCACTTTTTCCCCTCATATTACGCTGAAATACTACGGTTAGCACAACGACAGTTTAGACAGACTTGTAAACGGGAGCGCAAAATACGACACGTTCCTCAACGTAGACGGGGTATCCAAAACATCTAGAGCCAAGGGCATGAACTCCCTCAACGCATGATTTGCCACACAAACAAAAACTCGCGACAGTCTAAGAAATCGATTGCAGCATCGCCCATCGCAGCATCTTTTTTAAAAAAAAATAGCTGCAGCCAGCATTTTATACCGCATAACAATAATTTTTAGATCGCAGGGGTTATCGTGGGGCAGTGAAGTGCAGCGACCAGTGACACCTGAACACGCACGTAATCAAGCTGTTCACTGAATTCGTCACTTTTCTTAACGTAGAAAATGGACTATTTTATTCAGTTAGATTCTAGAAGCAATGTAAACTGTATATACTTAAAGATTCTAGGCACTTGTTACTTTGTGGATGTGCGGCAGCATTGATCTATGCATTTGGGGTACCGTGGACTGGGGGGAGGAGAAAAACGAAAGTAAAACCTTGCCCAGAAGCTCGGGCATTCCTAGAGATTCCAGTACCAAGTTTTTTTTAACATACTTAAAGTAACTAAAACACTCTCTCTGAAGTTCTGAACTTGCTCAGGTCGAGTGTAAAAGAAAGTTGAAAGATGAAAGAGAAATGAATTAAAAAAGAAAACTTGAAAAATAACCATTACCATTCATTACCATGATTATAATTCTTGATTCCCTGTCTTTGCTCATGTTACCTGACTATGTGTACTGTGTAGTGCATGTCTGTCTGTGTGAATGAATTGAATAAGAATGGGATCGGTTTCTTAGTCGAGTGAAATGAGATAAAAAATATTGTGATCGAATGTAATTTGTCTGACGCATTTCTTAACACTGATGTCTGATACTGGTGGTAAGTGCTGAATGCATGAATGATATTAGAGTCAGTGCATCAAAATCATGAAAATTTTAACAAAATCATGCTATGAAAAAGTAGCTCTGGCCAAGTCTAAAATAGCTCCCGTAAAAAAAAGTACGAGAGCTCTTTTTTTCATACAAAATAAAAAAAAGCTCTCGTAAACAAAAAAGTAATTTTTAGGCTGACTGGAATGAAAGAGACCAAAAAACTATACATGAATAGATGGTTCTTAAAGACACATAAAGGAAGCAGTGGTCATACATCTTCAGATGATTGATTGAATCATCGAGTACTGTGAAACGATGTCAATTAACAAGGGAATACCAATATTGACCTGACCATGATATACCTTATAAAAGGTTCCAAGTTTGCCATGGAGAAAACAGGTACGGGGCGAGGGCCAACCAAGTTAAGCCAGAACAACTTCTAATTGACATATCAATATGATTTGTTTATATAAAAGCATGTAGAATTTTAATGAAGATGGCTCACCCCAGGTTCTGAGTATAAAACACTTTTAGGATATAGTGTATAATTATATGAAATGCTAGAACAGAAAGCTTACGAAACAACTGTGTTTTACAACATACATACATTACACACGTGACATTACATCACATTACATCAAGAGCCCATTAATATATAATGTGCTATAATAATGGACTCTTGATTACATCACATTACATTCACATTACTACATAAAAGTTCAAACATTTACATGGTACAAACCATA